TATCTGTAATTTCTACTCAGTACATTTTTAAAAAAGATAAGAAGTATAAAGTCGTTACTCCTGTTTTATTACAGCTTGTTGTTAAAAATATTATCCTCCTGGGTAGAGTGAATTTAATTGTGGGTGGATGAGAAGTATAAATATATATTATTCTGATCCTGTATTAGTTTGTACACAACCCATCACAGCTGCAAACAACACAAATTATGTCACACTGCAGCAGAACATAGACTGTATGTAACAGGTGTAGTGCATCCTATTAACATTTTTATATGATAATAAAGCCATGTTGACCTTTAGAAAAACTTTTTTGAGTGTCTCACCTCTCAATAAATGTCATTTTGGGAAGTCTAGCCACTCATTTTTTCTCAGTACTTTTACTTTTAATAAGTACATTTTGTGTCAGAAATTTACTTTTGATACTTAAGTACAAAATAAATTAGATACTTTAAGACTTTTACTCAAGTAATATTGTTAGAGGAGACTTGAACTTTTACCAAAGTATATTTATGGTAAGATACTTGTACTTTTACTCAAGTATCACTTTGAGGTACTTTATACAACTCTGAAAAAAACAATAAAACACTCGTTTGGTTAGCTTTAGTCCAGCCTGTGAAGACTTCCACCTTTTTCTCATTAATCTGTGCTCTAAGACTGATGTCACAGCTGATACCTGCTGATAACTATTAGACAGAACACGTTTTTAAAATGTAAATTTATATTTAAAAATAACTGGGCTATCCCTTTTATTAACTTATATAAACATAATCTGTGCTACTTTACACTACCTACTTAGAGTAAAACACTGACACCTCAGTTCTCAGCGTTGTGTGTCTGAACTGATGAAATATGTGAGCTCCTAAAGGAATGTGACAAGATTTTTCTACTTTTTTTTCTCTTTTTTGAAAAAAATACATTAATCTCAATAACATACATATTCATTGAAATGAAACGCTCCAACGAGCACCCTGCCCAGGATTCATCCTGCCTTCAGTCCAGGCTTTTGTTGGGACCATCCTTGCGGGTGATGATCTTGTACACGCTCTCTCTGAAGCTGCTGTCGGAGGTCAGCCGTCGAGCCGTGGCCCGTAACTCCTCCACGCTGCCATCATCAGCAAACGACCTGGAGGGTTTCACTGCAGAGGGAACACAACGAGCAGTGGGAGCTCAGACTTTCACATGCTTTCAGCAGGGTAAGGGTTGCTCTCAGGTAAATGAAGACATGCAGTTAGGTGTGTTCAACCATAAACATGTTGCATCAGTCTGAATCTGAACCTAAAGAACTATTCCCTTTCTGCTAGGACCGAACAAGGACCTCCAGTGGCCCAAGAAGCCAGAGACTGATAAAGAGAAGCTACATGATTTATTAGCTGAAATTATTAACAAAATAAAATACAATTTTCAGGCTTAACAAAAAAAGTGGGCCTGCGTGTGTTTACATCTACGTGTGACCAAAAAAGGGAAATTTTACATTTTACATTAGACTGAGGTTGTTGCATTTTTGATGTTTCTGTGCTGTCTGAGTTTAAACGTTCAGTTTTATTGTTTGTGTTTAAACCATAAAGGCTTAATCACATGAAAAATAACATTATATTKAGATAAACTTTGCATCCTGAAAACACAACGGAGTCACATTTTTTGTGTGGCTGTTGAGATGTTACCATATTAAAAGTCAGTGGTGGGCACCAGCCCACTAAAGCACAAATCCACTAACTGTAGACCTAAAGATTTTGTTTGCACTTTAGTGGTCTTACTAATTTTTATAATTCATAAGCAGATTTGTGCTTTNTACATACATACATACATACATACATACATACATACATACATATACACATACAGTACATACACACATAAATACATACATACATACAGTACATACATACATGCGCACACACACACACACACACACACACACAGTTGTATGTATTATTTATGAAGTGATAAGGCTGTACACCTACACTGAAGAAGTTTACAGTCAGACATAAACACATCATTAAATCTTATGTGACCTTTGTAAACCATCACACAGAAAACATGATGCTAACAAAATGCTAACTGTTTTTAGCATGTTGTGTGTCTCTGATCTTTCTGACAGGAGACGCTGCTCTCGGCTGTGACGGGCGCTAAGCTAACTAGCTTTAGCTTAACCAGTTTGGTTACTGGTCTGTGCATGTTACAGCACGACCAGCACAGACCTGACAGACCTGACAGCCAAGTCCAAAACACAACACGGTCACAAGAAACACAACACTGCTTTCATCTTCTTCATGTCGGCAGCTGATGATGCTCAGAATGTGGAAGCTAACGCTAAAGCTAATGTTGTCAGCAGAGGTTACACGTCCTGTAGACGTAAAGCTGGGAGCACAGCTAACAAATAATAATAAATCATAAACAACCAAATAACGGGTAAATAAACAAGGCCTACTTGTCTGTAGAGTGTCCACCTGATGGAAGCAGCCGCTGTTTGTCTCACAGGAGCACCAGAGGAAATGATAGTGACAACCAGAAGATTCAGTTTCACGTCAGGAAACTCACTGCTGCCCCCTGCTGACCCAAGCTCTGCTGGCTGGTTTCTTCTTCTTCTGTGGTTTAATGCCAGGTGACAGTGTTTAGGTGCATTGCTGCCACCTTCCGGAATGGAGTGTGTCCATTATAACTATTATTATATTTATTATTGTCAGATATTACATAACTACCTCATTATTCATGTTCTTATAGGCAGGAGGTACAGATCATGCTATTTTTCTTCATTTTGATTAGTTTTGCACATCTGTGTGGTCACATTTTACTAAAATGTTGTGTTTAGTGCTGTGTCACTTTCAATGTTTCATTCAAATAAATTACATTCTTAATTTTACTCCATTTTGTGAGATAACAAGTTTTTTTTTATGGGAATGATGTTTGCCATTTAGCACTGGCTACTTTTTGGCAGCTAAAACATTAGATTTTGTTAGTAAATAGTTTAAAGAAATGAACCTTATGCATAAATTCAGACTGGAACGGCCTTTCCCAATAGGTGGCTCCTCCCTGGCCCTACTCCCTACACACTACACTCACTGTGAAGCCCCCTCACAGCTGAACTGAGTTCCCTTGATGGCGCTGTATACACCCTCCACTTTTGAGACGGGCTCTCACCACCGGAACAGGAAGCTGTCATCACCATGGTAACAGTCCAAGCTCTGGCAGCGATTGAATGCTGGAGAATGAACGCCGTAAGCTCGTTTAGAAGATCCATCCATCCATCCATCCATCCATCCATCCATCCATCCATCCATTTTCTTCCACCTATCCAGAGTCGGGTCGCGGGGGCAGCAGCTTCAGAAGGGAGGCCCAGACCTCCCTCTCCCCAGCCACTTCTTCCAGCTCCTCCGGGGGAACTCCAAGGTGTTCCCAGGCCAGCCGAGAGACATAGTCCCTCCAGCGTGTCCTGGGTCTTCCTCGTGGAGGAGCAGCGGCTCTACTCTGAGTCCCTCCCGGA